GCAGCCATCCATGGGATGACGGCGACGGTCACGGACGAGCACTTCACGCTGTGCAGCCCTTCGACACGTTTGTAGTATGTAGCGCTATGGATATATGCAGTTCATTCATGGATGGACGCCCTGGTTCTTATCTGTGCGGGTCGCTCCGATGGCTCTCGAGACGCCACAGCATCCACTCACTGAGCTAGAGGTTTGGACACCGCCACCGCCAAGTGAGCGTCGGACATATTTGTGTCAGAATGGTTGCAAGACCATCGCTCTCGACCTCGTACGCGGAGCTCTCGCAAGCTCGCTTCTCGAGGACCTTGCGGGTCAAGTCGGAGGGTCTGGACTATGTGTACACCATGGCAAATCGGCTTGTGAGAAACCATAGCGGCCTAGTCCATTCAATTCAAAGTTTGTATGGTGACCGTGTCAGTTTACGACTCTGGCGCGGAAGTTGCCTTGGCGACGTCTTTTTGGAGGGGTCACCGCGGCTCGGCTCCAACGGCTGAGTCGCAGCTCGAGTCGAAAAGTGCTCGGCTCAGGCTCCATTTTTCGAGCACGCTCCGAGTTGACTTCAAGCCGAGCCGAGTGGAGCCGGCGAGCCGCGGCTTCGTATCAGTCAGGCTAAAACTAAACGATGATGTTCACATGGGTATCACCACAACTTGATCGTCGTACCGGCGTGTGAGTTGGGACGCCGACGTCCTCCCTTCAGCGAGCGCCTTTCCAGTACGATTTGTTTCTAGTCAGTCTGCTCTCTCATCCATAAACTGCATAGCACTTGACATGTACTAGATCGTCGTTTACATGATCGACGTTGGACTATAGAGCGTATAGTGCTCCGCATCAAAGCCGCACGCCATGCGATGTGTGGCGACAAAGGCTTGGATCTCGTCCTTGTGTTGTTGGTCCATCGCATACACAATAACGCGCACGTCGGTACACTGCGCGAGCGACTGGAGAAGCACGCGGACACCATTGATCGTCACGTTGTAGTTGTTGGTGAGGTCCAGTGTCAATGGCGTTGTGTTGCGCCCTTCGCGCAGCGTCTGTGCAAGGTGTCCGAGACTCGCGTCGTCAAGGCCCACGTCGTTGAAGCTCGCAAAACCAAGTCCGTTGCCGATCAAACGAACAAACGTCCGAGTCACACTGACAAGCCATCCGTCGGCCAGCTTGCACTGTTGAAACGTCAGCTTGCGGAGGCCTTGCGCGTGGCCAAGGAACGACAGCACAGTAGCAAATGCGGTCGGAGTAAAATCGATCGCACTGAAGAGCATGCTCTCGAGGTCCGGCCACGTCGACGCTTCGGCCAGGCCGTCGCCCATTTCGCCTCCGGACGATGCCAAATGGCGGAGTGCGGGCAAACGCCCAAGCGTAAAGAAGTCGGCGTGGTCGTTTGCGCTGGAAATCGCGAGCGAGGTGATCTTGGCCAAGTCGAGCAGGGCCAGGAACGGAACCACGGCCTCGGGCGAATACGTCCGCAGTTCCACCTGGGTGAGCTGATGCAGCGGCAGCTCGAGTTCGAGGAAGGGGTCGAGGAACTCTTGGTTATCGTGGATGCCAAGAGACCGAAGCGAAGACGTGGTCGCAAGCGTGCGTGCGAGATCTGCCTCGTCTTCTATCGCGGTGCACTCGATCGAAAAGCTGCGAGCGTGGCCACTGCCAAGCCACGGCACCACATACGAATTCAAGTCCGCGGTGGCAGTGCTCATTTCGCCAATAAGCATGGTGCTGACGCGATGGTCGGGTGTCGTAAAGGCAGCAAAGATGTCTTCGTCGCCTTCGTCGGCGACCAAATCGATCGACTGGAGGCGCGTGCAGCGACGCAGCACGTCACAAAAGACGTCACTGCCGACCTGGTGCCGCCACTCTGATGTCACGTGCGTCAGCTTGAGCGGCCACTGCGACGCAAAGTCGATAAAGGCTTGAGCGTCGTCGGCCGCAAAGAGGCGCCCAAAATGCCAAATTTCGGTGGCGCGCACCGATAGGAACACGGGCAGCGCCGCACGGTACAACGCAACAGCGTCGTCGGCGTCCAAGGTAGCGCCGTCCAAAACAAGCGTAGGCCACGTGTGCACCAGTGGGCCTGGTCGCGTCAATAGCGTCTTGGT